CAGCAGCAGGGGAAGGGAGTGGACTCTCTGAGCTCCAAAGCTATACAAAAGCAGGGGCTCTAGAAAGACCTAATGCTGAGAGCTCTTGCGTGCCCCAGCCAAAGGAGAGGGGTGACTGCAGCACTGCACCCCCTCTGGATCTGGCCATGGAAGGGTGTCCCCTTTGATACCAATTAACACACTTAGCAGTCTTCTCAGAAAAGCCCCAAATGTGTAATTGCTCAGATTTGCAGGTCAGGATCGACTTGAACAATGGAATCAGAAGCCAATAATTAATTATTTTAATGTATATTTTCTACATTTTCCCCCCAGAGTCATACAATCCATGTGCAAACTAATGGAGGCAAAATAATTGGTCTGGGAAGTCTTCATGGAAATACAGATATTCATGTGACAGGGGAGAGTGTAAGTAAAGGAGGCTTTTTCTTCAAAAGTTTGTTAGAATTCTGTTTCAAGCTGTCTGGTACAAAGTAGGTAAATGCAGAGGAATGCTTATGAACAGCAACTTGATCCCAAGCAGCTAATGGGAATGCATCACTGTTACCCTGTGTTCTCCCCATCTGTGCAGTATAACTTGTCACCTATTTACTGTGTGTGTGTGTGTGTATGTGTGTAAAATCTCCAGGTCAGTGGTTCTCAACCTTTTTAGGCTCAAGGCACCCCTTGGAAAATACCAGCTCTTGGTCTTCCCTCCTGCCTGCCTTTTTGATAATGGAGAAGTAATACAGCAATTTTTTGTATAACAAAGAACTTAGAAAGACCACAAGTCAGAATGTTTTTCTATCACTCTGGATTCTTATGTGAAATCTCTGGGTTTATCTTATGGATCATGTTTGCACACCTAATAGTGTTAACTAGGGGTGCACTGATAAAGATTTTCTTGGCCAATACCAATGGCCGATTATTAACCAGCAATATCAGCTGATACAGATCTGACAGCCAATTTACAAGAATGTAGCCCGGCAGGTTGGAGAGCAGCATCCAGCCGGTAAGTCTCTGGGGAGGAAGGAGCATGGAGGGGCAGATTGAGGCTCCCACAGTGAGAGAGGTGCTCAGCCAGGGCCGTGAATGCCACCCTGGGGTGGAGCTCGAGGTGAAGCCATGGGTGGCTTATCTGGGGGAGGAGGGGGCATTTCCCTACCACT